TAACGCTACTTCCCATCATATTCATTGGCTCGCCTAACATGTTTGACCCATGATTTCCTGGAAAACAAAGTGCAAATGGCCTTTTAGAGGAAATGACTTTATACCATTAGCCTCTATATAAACGATCATTTTAACGGGTTTCGCATATTAATTTAATTGGTATTTTTCTTTCGGCAATGAGTCACTGGATATTCGAGATGTGAAGAACCGTGGCTTCACCTTGTTGCTTATGGAATAAGTCATTGCTTTTCCAACCGTGACGAAATGCTGTTTACAACTGTACAGTTGACTACAGAATGATGTTCCACTTTCCACAGGCAATCAGTTGCCTGGAGTGGTAGACTGTGCCGCATCACAGTCACACAGGCTGAGTAATCGCAGTTAAACCCTCACCCGTTTAGGGGAGGGGGGGGGGGTCGAACACAGACCCCCTCGGTTGTTCGCGAATAACTCGCGTAAAAATGGCTGATCGCGACGAAACTTACAGAACCCTCGCGTTAAAGGGACTATCCCACCTTTAACCCGCGCCCGGCTGGGGGTCCTGGATTTCCACGCCCTGCTGGGGGGGGGGGGGGGTGTTTGAACACCCCCCCCTTGTAACTCGGCTCCTGGGCCACGTAGCGATACGCGGAAAGCGGCGTTCGAAAGAGCGTAAAAAATAATGACGAAATCACTTCGGTCAATTTTTTGGTCAGGTCAAAGGTCAGGTCACCAGAGGTCATTAAAGGCAAAATTTCGCCGATTTCCAGGTCGAATGTCGAAAATTTCCAAGAAGCCAACGCATAACTCGAGAACCAATAGAGCTACAGCGCCGCGGAAAAGCGCATTCGATAGCCCTATTAGAGCCCTTTCTGAATAATCATCTCAGATTTGACCTAACGTCAACGGTTTTGCCTGCAGGGGGCAAAAACTGCAAAAATAGCCGATTTTTTCGGAAACAGTTTTTCTGCAATAACTTTTGACCCAAGCCTTTTACGAGGTTATATTTACCGGCATTGTGTTCCTCTCGTCAAGACGCATCGAATGAACTATAAGTTGACCTTGAAAGGTCAACTTGAAAATTTGACCTCAGGTCAAGGTCATGACCTGACCGGAAAGGGTCATGCTGCATATCAGTCGATCCGTATCGTCGAGCTGAACACATCTAAGGCGTTTTCATCGCTCTAGCATGCCTCCATCAAAAGTTATTTGCGAAAAACTGTTAGATACCATTCGTGACCTAAGATGACCTCCGGGCATAAACAAGGGTCACGGACACCATTTTCATGTTCAGTGTGTCTAAGCCACTTGTAATTCGGTGTTTGGGAGTGTTTATAATGTCTTTTGTCCAAAAGAGGCGCGTTCCAATTTTCTCCCATTGACTTATAATGGGGAGGTCGCAAAATTGACCTGACCTTAGGTCATCGATATCAAAATTCTGAGATATACATTTTATACATGCTATCGCTCTTAGCAATCGCTGAAAGTTTCAAAGCGATCGGCCACTCGGTGTAGCTATGACAGACATTGAAACTTTTTATGAGGTGAGGTCACTTCAAGTGACCTGGTGACCTGACCTTGAATGACCTTGGTTTGAAATTTTCACAACATGTGTAGAATTGATGTATGATAAGGTGTACCAAAAACGGCGGCGCTCCGCGCCGCCGTTTTTGAGATATTCGCGAAAAACCACAAGGGGGGGTGTTCAAACACCCCCCAGCAGGGCGCGGGTTAACATGGGGTTTGAGTTGAGATAGCCAAGTTTGCGGCGAGGTTCAGAAACCACTATCTATCTAGGTTGCAACCCCCGCGGCCTCTTGGTGTTGAAGAAATTCGTTCCCTTCATTTGAAAATGGGCCTTGTACAAGGCCCTATCTTCGAGCGACCGTTAGTGTGACGTCACCTCGTTTAGTCATTCTGATTTAAATGGGTTTGTTCGTTGAAAAATCGCTTAAAACTTGGTCTGAACTTTGTTGTGGTGCCTACAGAGTAAAAAGAATCAGCTTTATGACAGTAATGTGGCCTGGGGAAGGAGGTAATTTTGGGCTGTGACGTCACATATTAGAAAGTTTGTGTTTGGAATATGGGAAGCCTTAGATGTTTAATGAAAAATAAATGCCAGAACCGTGTTCCTGGTCATTCAATCTATAAAGTCGGGCACAATTTAACTGGTTTTAACAACATTTTAGAAGGTGGGATAGTCCCTTTAATCAATTTTAACCTATTCCAAGCATTTCATGACCCTGACCCAAATGACCTTTGACCTGTGATCTATGTACTTTTCGAGACCATGTTTGGCCGGAACCGCGATTTGGCGTATGTCGGCTCGCGTTAGCCGCGCGTTTGCAGTCTTTTCGTGGTTTCAAACGTTCAAACATGTGATATACTGTTGGACCCATGCATTAGGGTGGGTGTCAAGGTCACCTGAAGGTCAGGTCAGGTCAGGTCATTGACCTTTGATGACCTCGGTTCACTTTTTTGAGTTTTACGTGTTTCTAGGCTAGTTTTTGGAGCTGAATTCAGAAGCACCACACCATTGTTTCTTACCAACTCGACTAATAGTTATTCGGTATATTTGTCAGGCACCCTTAGTTATCTATTTCAAGGCCGTTCCATGGATATGGGCCACAACATTTTGACCCCTATTATAAGTTTAACCCCTTACACACTACCAAGGCATACACCAGCTTCTAACCTATAAGACATTGCTTAAGTCTGGTGATTGGCCTCTCCATTCGCAACAGCTGAAAGTGAAACATGACTGGTGGATTGAGTTTTTTTTCAACAAAAAGACAGAACCGAAACCGTCTTTCTCCGCCAAAATGTACCTAATTGCATGCCTTCTTATCTTTATCATCAATGTAACAGACGTGTTTTATGGGACATTCACCGTTCTCATGAATGATACGATACTTGATTTTAGCGCTCTGTTATATTACCCAGCACTCCATGATAACGCATTTTAGGCGATGTCAGTACTTCCATTCAGATGGCTGAGAAAGATTTTCCGGTTATTCACCTGTTCCCCATCTTTTCCGGTGTCATTGCATAATCCACGTCAATTTAAACTGATAATCTTTGACCTTTAGGAGCCTGATCAATATCTGTTCAGTGTTCACTGTTCAGTGTTTTGGAAATTCGTGTACCTAGTGTCGGGAAATTCCTGGCATCGCTCTTTCTCTGCGGCGCTGAAGGGCCTCTGATGACATTTTGGCGAGATGTGACCGCTGATAGGGTGTATGGACGCCTGAAATATGCTCTGCAATTCAAATGCAAAGTGGAAGCGTCTCGTCACAATTACGTTACTGCGTGATGAAAATCTTCACTGCTGGTCTATCAGGGACTAGGGTCGCTCGGGCTGGTTAGTTCGTCGTGTAAGGGTAGACCCGGTCTTTTTAGAACTATCACAACATTAACCCTCGCCTTGATGGGGTCTGCCGAGCAACGCGGTCTGATGGGGGGGGGGGCATTTTGCCCCCCCCAAGATCTCGAGAACCACGTAACATAGCGACAAGCGGCAAACGGCGTTGGATAGCGGCCGGGAACTACCTTGTGACCCAATTTCATTGACCTCGGTCTAACCGATGACGTCACAGGTCAGGTCAAAGGTTGAATTTTTACCGTTTACAGGCATTTCAAGAAATGCGTTGAGGGCCTAACCCAACCAAAAAAAAAAAACAAACAAAAAAACAATGCGTTGTAAAATCGAGTAAAATACATTTCATTGAAAATCATCGATGGGGAAATGTTCGTCAAACACATATTTTGCCATTTGAGGTCACTGATACCAGGTCAATCACAGAGGTCATGTCACTGAGGGTCACAATACAAAAATATCATGTGATGTATGTTTCATGGTCCATTTTATATGCCCAATGCGAATATGTGGGACAGGCAGCCCTTGGAGTCAGTTGATATTATGTTTTGGTGAAGGTCAGGTCAAGGTCAGGTCAAGGTCAGGTCAAATTAGGTCAAATTCCAAAGTTGATATTTTTGCATAAAATGGGTATCAATTCGATGCAGCTGGTCGGGAGTTCAATGGTGGTCTCTGTTTTGCGCTACGTGGTCTAGAATTGCTAAAAATCGAGTTAAAAAAATTGACGTCATCAATTTTGAACAGTTTTTTTTTCGCTATAACTTGGCCAAAAAGGAGTTATCGATCTAAAATTTGATGTGTATATCGAAGAGCGCAGGGACTATCACATATATTCCGTTTTTAAATTCGTTTTTTTATTTTTTAGTTTTTCTAAAAAATCAATTTTGGGGATATTTTTGGGTGAAATTCCAAAAATTCTGAAAATCCGAGATGGCAGTTTTGTAGCGCCGTGTTTTCTCTACACAACCACATAAATAATTTAAAAAATTGCTTTGTAAACTGTAGATTTGGTGAGCATTTCAAGATGTCATATTTTTTGCTCATTTTTACTCGAACATGACCTCAGTTTGACCTCAATAACTCTTGACCCAAGGTGACCTGTGACTTGAAATTTTGTGTAATGGTGTCAAATTGATGCCCGGGAAGGTAATGAAAATTTGGTGGCGCTGCCGCCGCTGTTTTCTCGCTATTTAAGAAAAACCACAGGGGGGCCAATCAGGGCGCGGGTTAACACATGGTGTCAGTCAGCATGTCTTATGGCGAGCAGTCTTCCAAATAAATCTTATCCAAATAAACAACTGTATAAAACCCTTTCAGCACATGCACTTTACCCACATCCATGCTCTTCAGTATTCAGTTCTGTTTATAACACAACTCCGACAATCGACATGCTGGACCTTTGAATTTATGCCCCTTCAGTTATTTACAAACCGTGACTGTTTTTCCTCCGTGACTGAACGCCTGCGGCTTTACAATGCGGTGGTTCGATCAACATCCGTTAGAGAGGTGACCTGTGGACTGAGCCGCGCCCCGTGGCCCCCTGTTTCGGTGGTCCAGAGGATCGCCCCGATACTAAAACCGGAGCCACATCCTCCCACGACAGCAGCTTTTCGGTCTCTCCAGCGGTGTTTGCTTCTTGATCGGTCGCCCACGTGCCCCTAAAAACCGACCAGAGGTGCCAGGGTAGACCCCAGCTCTAAACGAAGGCCAATATTGCCACCGGCAGGTGCTATCGGTCATGCTCCGTTCGATGGGTGTTTGCAATCGCCCGATAAGGGCTGGGTGCACACAGGGCAGCCTACGAAGCCAGTGACTCCATCCCGCCGACATCGGTCGGTCGTCGGTCGTCGGTCGCCCGCCACCGGACCGGGGCACCTGAGGTCCGCTGTCTGCCGAGGTCGGGTTTCCGGCCGGGCCGCCGCCCCCAGTAGACCCCGGTAGAGCCGGCGACCACCGGCCGCTGCACGGGTCAATACCGCACAGACGAGCAGCGCGCGCCGGCGGCGGCGTGGTCGAGCGGCGACCAATGAGACGCTCCGCTGCGGGGGCCCGCACCCGGGGGTCAGGCGGAGGTCAGAGCGACCAGTGCCCTGCGGCGAGCTGCACTGTGCGTGTCACACCCGCGACAGCCCACACCATGAAGGCCGACGATCAGCAAGATGAACGGTATGTGACAGAGGCACCGGCCAAGTGCTAGGTGTCATGGGGACTAAATAGCGGCACGTATTCACATGTTCCCTTGCAAAAATCTGACCTTCAACTTAAATTTTGAACATTTTGCTAAATGGATTTTTATTTGCTAGCTTCGTGGCACCATATGCTATTTGTTCAGTTTCCACGGTCATTTTCGATTGTACTTTTTTGCATATGTTATATGCCTGCCTACGCTAAATACAAAGTGCATAGTTATTGTATATCATATCAAGGTAATATTTATTGTTACTTGCAATAGGACCAAGATCGATAAATAGGTACCTAAAATCAATTTCAGCATTGAATGCAGGCTGCTTTCTTACCACTACTTTTCGGGCCTCTTGACCGCTCAATGGAAAGGAGTGTGGTGGGCGGCAGCGCATGAGTCATGAGGTCTAAATGACAATATTTTTAAATGCTAATATTTATAACAGACGATAGTATGATCCAGGCAGGGTGTATGACCGGTTATTGCATACTGATTACTGTCGATTTGATATTTTCATCGACGTCAGCCGCTCATGAAGCTTCTGTGCGAAGCAGGCCGACGCCTTTGGCTCCGTGGTGATTCATTCCTTCCCGTATACCTACTGCAAACGTTGCTGATAGCCGTTCGACTGGCACGGCGTCACTGCGACGGATACTAAGTATATGTAGAACTGACGCAATACGAGCGGATGGGGCTCTAAACGTAGCGACATGCTAGTACTACGCTACCAATTACCCTAATGCGGGCAATTAAGACCGCATTCAACAAGAGCTGGTAGAGTGCATTATACTCAAATTACATGATTAAGGTTAATTACGTCGAAACAAGGATAAGTATTTAGCGTCATACACTGAATTTGCAACAATGCTGTCATACAATTGTTCGGTATTGTTAGACATATTTATAAAATCTGATGGCCAATAGTTGCAAACCAAAATGATAATAAAAATACAAAAAGATTTAGATTTTAATGATCATTTTGGCTTGCAACTATTGGCCATCAGATTTTATAAATGCTGTCATACCTATAACTACTTGTAATTGCGGCTTTTCATTACGCATAGCCGCGTCGCTCGTCGCCTACCTAGATCATGCACAGCTCGACATATTTTTTATCAGACCTAAACGTGACCTAAATCAGACCTAAATCGACTATCGACTAAATCGACTAAATCGACTAAATCAACTAAATCGACTATCAGACCCAAATGGCGGATCCAATAAGACAAGCTTTCTCGCGACTGAGCATGTGTTTATTTTGTTAAAATGAAGCATAAGGTAGGTGTCATGCACTTGGACTGCAAGGAATGGAGACCGAAAAGCTGTTATTTCTTTTCTTTAAATTTCACAGCTTTCTGGGCTCATTCTTCATTCTTTTGAAAAAGAAAAGAAAATCACAGCCAACGATTTTGGCGTGTAGATTCTTAATTGTCTTGTCTTTTTATTTTCTCTGCGAACTGCGTTTTCAGTGACCATTGTGGCAGGTGCCGCCTACCATTGGATGGCCGTTCCGTCGGCTCATGAAATCGATGTCCGAAGTGCTGCTATCTCATTTCCCGTCAGTCGACCCCACCGGGTCGATGTCTGGCTGACGGGATCGGGTCATCGAACGTCGGGCAATCGACAATGGCCAGTTGTTCCGCATGAAAGCGAAACCCTGAGCTTGCAGTTGAAAAGGCGGCATGACGACGATAGAGTTCAGCAGTGTTGCAGAAGTGACAACGCTGCAAATGGCTGTATCGTTTATTTGCTGACGTAATAATTAATGATTTTATTTGTAATATTGATTTCAGCATACAGCATGATTCACCATTTCAGCATACTGCAGTCCATTGCCTAAATTCTGCGAATCTAAGCTGTCTGATGACAAATGGGGTTAAATGGCTAATAACTTTCCAAAAATCCGAAAGTTAAGCATACGGGTATCCCCTAATGCAATTCCACCATTTAGTGTACCTATTTGAATATTTTGCCGTCAGAATTTCATATTTTATTTCATTGTGAGGCGAGCTGATTTTGCAAGGTGTCTGAAGCTTCTATTCAGCTCGTCGGTGTTATACAGTTTTTAACAACAGTTATCCTTTCCGCCAGCCAAAAGGACGCCGTTGTGCGCCTTCGGAACCCGCACGTGGCCAACATGAAGTCGGACATCCTGTACCACCTGGCGCTGGGCTCCGGCTCGCACGACCTCGAGGCCATGTTCGGAGATGTCAAGGTCAGTTCGGTAGTCTACTTCTGCTAGCATATGCATGTGCATTGTGCATGCATCATGTGAAGTAAAATACGTGACTCTGGTCAACACCAAACAGATGTTTGTTACAAGCACTGTATAACACAGACTCGAATGATGAGATAAATGTGCGTTTACCGGGAATAAATAAAAAAGAGGTGTATGTACGTAAGTACTAAGTAATGCCACCATTAACCCTCGCCGGCCGAGGGGGGGGGGGGGGCGGGTGCCGCCCCCCCCATAGGGTTTTTTCGCGATAGCTCCGAACACGCTGGCGATAGCGAGCTGAAACTTGGCATACCTGACCTTTGATCCAAGCCGCATCTTTTGACACCAACCGCATTTTTGGGTCAGGTCAGGTCACTGACCTATGACGTCATAAGTGAACCTCTGCACGGTCTTCAGATGTCGCAACTTCGCAACGCCCTCACTGCCAGAGGAGATGTCACAGGGAAATGAAACTTGCAGGATCTAGTATCCATTATGAGTCCCACAACTTGTATATCTCGGATTTTTCCTAAAGGTCATATGAGGTCAGGTTATTTTCGTGACCTCACCATTATAAGTCAATGGGGAAAAATGAAAACTGCTATTCTGGCGCCGGGAACGATCTCCAACTATCTCAAGCACACAGAATCGTGATTTTATGCACTCCTTGCAAGGTTAGATGCGTCACTTTTGCAATGTTGACCTTGCGTGACGTCATTTATGACGTCATCAAGGTCATATTAGTTTTTCGTCAATAACTCTTGATCAAATTGAGCTAGCGAGTCGGGAAAGCCACCAATGGACTCAGGAAGACCTGCCGAATCGAATGATATGCGACATGACCTCTTTCGACCAACTTCGTGACCTGGGGGTGCTGACCTGACCTTGACCTGAGGTCAACACCCCAAGTTGACCTGACCCGGACAAAAAGTATATCATTCGACGCGCCTGAGCGAGACGAACACGATGCTGCCAAAATCGGCGCTCTGCGGCCGTTTTTTGCGAAGTTATTCACCAAAAACTGAACCGTACCTTGGGGCACTTGACCTGACCTCAGAGGTCACCGGTTGACCTAGGACCTTAAAATCGGGTACCAATCTCTGCGTCTCGTAACGGCGCACACGCTCGTTTTTTCCGCGACGCGCTAGCTCCACCAGGGGCGAAACGGCGAGGGGGGGGTCGTACCCGCCCCCCCCCTCGGCCGGCGCGTATGTAGAAAACCAATAGGTCCGGCGAGGGTTAACACTTGCCGACTCGTCCAGTAGGTACATCAGCTGAATGGGCCACTCGGCCACCTTCCCGTGTTGTTTATCTTGTGTGTGTATATGTATGTTCCGCCGGTACTCGGCAGCCTACGTGTTTGTGGGTTTACCTGACAGTGTTTGTATGTTCCGCCGGCAGCCTACGTGTGTATGGGTTTATCTGACTGTGTGTGTATGTTCCGCCGGCAGTACCTACGTGTGTGTGGGTTTATCTGACTGTGTGTGTATGTTCCGCCGGCAGTACGTGTGTATGGGTTTATCTGACAGTGTGTGTGTATGTTCCGCCGGCAGTACGTGTGTATGGGTTTATCTGACTGTGTGTGTATGTTCCGCCGGCAGTACGTGTGTATGGGCGGCACACCGCGCCGCATGGAGCAGTTTGCCCGCTTTCTGATGGACGAGATCGGGTACGAGCTGCCGACGGGCGCGCAGCTGAGCGACATCTCGCAGCTCTCCTACCGCTACAGCATGTACAAAGTCGGCCCCGTGCTCTCCGTCAGCGTGAGTACCTAGCGGGTCCGTCAGCTCACCCCGCTGAGCTGACGTCTTCACTCTTCAGATCTGCATGATTGGTTCGTGCGCTTGATATACCGAAAGCTGAAACAAGCTCGCTTTCTGTCTAGAAATGTCATAAGATGTCTGACGTATAGTTGACAGATTTTGAGTACCTAGGCACTACAAAGAGAAAAAGAAAATAGCACTTATTTGGCGCCTGGGCTGCCCAGTAACGGGGACGGTCTGATGCAACATCCATCGTTATTGTCGGGAAGGGAACTGCTATCTTAGTTTTAACCGCCCCCTCCCGAGCGCTGGCATTCATTGCATTGATTCGTCACGAAGAAAGGCCAGTGGAATGGCTGACACATGTGAATCTAGCTCACACGATGCCAACCTACATACCCGGCTTCCGAGCTGTGAAGGCAGTTTCGTATTTGTCTGCCGGGGTGTTGAGACAGCTTTACGTTCCCTTTCTGCACGGTGCTCAGACGGCTGTGTGGGGCGTGGCTGTCTGCTGAGGCAACTGAAGCGGCTTCATGGCTGTGTTCTGGGTAGCCGGAGGGAGCTCAGCCTGTTTGTTCCGGGTTGCCGAGCTGAATCCATATTCATATCTCGGACTGCCGAGGCTCATATTTCCCTGTCGTGTTTAAGACGGCTCAGCTCAGTGTTCCCGCGGGGCTGCTAAAACGCCTGCCTAGCAGTATAGTCTCCCTGGTCACGTGCAGCTGGTGGCGACAGGCGACTTCTGTCCGGTGCGGTGTCGCCTGTGCCAAAAACTGAGCCGATCTGTGCCAAAAGTGACGTCAGCTGTAGCGCCAGCGTCATCGATTGTGACTCACTGACAGACAGGGTAACGCGTCGGAGCAGCCAGAGGGCTTTTAGCAAATGGTTTTACAGCACACCAGTCACCAGACCAGACTGTTCGCTGAATGAAAAGGTTGGCGGCTCGATCGCTGTTTTGTCTACCATGAACATATCAAGCTTCCCCGAAGTTGATGTAAGCTCATGTTAACTGTCAAGACTGAGTGGTGGTTATCTCTAGATATATAATATTGATCCGTTTGCCCGTTTGGTCCCCTTAATCCATAAAATCGGGAGGAAAAATTCTTAATTTAGAGCAGGTATAGGTATACTTGTTTTAGTATATACCATGCACTATATAAATGATTATGTCATATGTTATTAGAATCGACAAAAGGATCGTCCGCTCTAATTCATCCGTGTATGATGCATCTGAGCTAGGCGTAACTCGTGTCTGCTACAATATGACACTCCAGGCCCTTGTGTGTTATCTGTGTCGTGTTCCTTCCGGCCGGCCGGCTGCCCCCCCCCCCCCCCCCCCCATTCCCCGACTCTCAGACTGATAGTGAACTGACTGCTGCACCGATCGGCCGCCCCCCCCCCCCCGCCCCCGACTCTCAGACCGACCCCCTGCACCGAACGTCAGCCGACTCCGCGGTACTGCGCCACCAGTACATGCATAATGCATAGGTACTGCATCATATTGCATAATGCACATTGCACATTGATCTATTTTCGGCCATTCAAAGTAAGGTATTACCATAGCATCTTGTATGCCTGATTGTTTGCTTTCAGCTTTGGTGCCACAATATCTGTGACGTTCCAATTATGTATTGGCAGCACGGTATGGGTATTCCCAGCGTGGGGATCCTGCTGCACGAGATGATCAAGCTGATGTACCACGCCAAGGTGAAGGACCCGACGTTCTTCCGTCTGGGCACGTGCGGCGGCATCGGCATCCCCGGCGGCAACCTGGTCATCAGCGAGAGCGCCGTCGACGGCATGATGAACCCCTACCTGGAGCTGGTGAGTCACGATTACAATCATAGACATGTTTCTAAAATAGCATAATACATGAGTGGATACGTTTAAGCTATACCGAATCTGACACCTTTATTGTCCGTCCTGAAATCGGGAAATAAACGTTATGAACACGTTATGCAGCTGGGTTTAGCGTTTATTCTTTTATTATAATTACTATCTTGAAATATAGGTATGTTGCTGAATATCAACTACATAGCTGACCCTAAAAATGGTGTGATTCTTTATTATTTATGCGATTTTTTCCAACCTATAAGAAACAAAAAATATACGAAGTTCCGCCAAAGGCTGGCTATTCAGCAGATATCACGCAGGTAGCGGAGGCGCAAGAGCCTGGTAAAATTCCGTCCACCCACGTGTCCGTGTCCTCTGTGGCGCTCGGGCCGTTTCCGCCGTTTCCGCCCTCCACTGACGGCCAGAGAGAAGGGGAAGGGGTAGGGTCATCTGTGGTCCTCGCTGTAGAGTAACATTGCCTCCCAGCCGCCTGGCCGGCTCGGTGGTGGTGTGGAGCGGCCATCCGACCCGACCTCGGCCCGGCACGGCGCGGCGCCTTCCGCCCCGGGCCCGTGGCCATTACCTCATTACAGTAACGGCTACAGTCGCCCGGCGGGTGTTCAGGGTATCCTTCAGGACATGTCCTTCCCAGCTGGCCCAGTTACAGCTCGCCAGAGGCGGTACGGCGCAATCTAGGACCAGACGAGCAGGGCCATATTACTCGTCCGGGTAAAATAATGTTGAGGAATGTGCTTATTGCCTACTGCTACTCTAAGCGCTATGAAGTGCAAGTGCAGTAGGACCGTCGAACTGTCGCTACAACTGTCGGTGTACTGTCTTTACACCGTTCGGTGTTTTAGGAAGGGGTTTCATATTTGAACATTGAACAGCGTCCGGTCGTCACCGATCAAATTTTGGCCTAACTTTAATTCTGCGACCCTTCAGACACACACCTCCCCATCAATAACGCGTGAGCGTAATTCATCTCCTCCGGGACGGCTGGTTGTGAAAGTCCAGTGATGAAGCCCGTTTGGGAAAATTACCCGTGCCTCCTGACCGGCCAGAACTGACCTAAATGCGCACTACCCCTCGGGAGTAACTACGCTACGCGCGTGTCCCGCGGACTGTTTCCTGGAATGTGATGAGTGATGCTTGTATATCTGAGCAGCTGGTAAATGCCGCGCTTGGAGGTCCCATTGCGTCCCTGGTAAATACACAGAGTAAGAGGGGCGTGCTCTTCCGGGAGGTTGCGCGAGCGGCTGAGGGGGAGGAGGATGTCGCCTTGACTAGCGGGCTGCTCCGCCAAATTTATACGACAGGGGTCGGAACGGTGCTTTTTGCAGAGGACGGCAACGTGATGGAATACAAATAATGGAATAGATGGAATTTATGTTTGAGGGCGGGGAGGGGGGGGGGGGTAGTGCTGGGAAGGCTGTTGAAATGCGTGACGCATGTTAGGTATATGTCTTATGATGTGAGTGCGACGTCCGATGTGTTTTTATATTCGTCATCCGATACTGGGAAGGGCCACTGACATACAGGACGCATATGACGTTACGTCCGTGTTTCGCCTGGTGTGATGCCTGGTGTGGTGTGAGGTGTTATAGGCTGTAATATCAGGTGTGACGTCTGTTTCGCTGTGATGCCTGGTGTGTTGAAATGTGCGATATGCCGCGGTATCAGATGTGACATCTGCTTTGATGTGTTGCCCGTCAGCCGGTACTGGGGAAGCTGCTGAGTGCTGGGCGTCTAATGTGCCCGCCATGACGCATGTCTTGCTGTGCTGCCTTTCAGCCTGTACTGGGTAAGCTGCTGCGCCGGCCGGCCGTGCTGGACAGGCAGCTAGCCGAGGACCTGAAGGCGCTGCACATGCCGGACGACAAGTGGGACACCTACATCGGCCGCACCATGTGCACCACTGACTTCTACGAAGGTCAGTCCTCTGCCGCAGCCGCTCCTGGGGACTGGCTGCCGAGGGGACGGCTATAATCGGAGCGCTAATATATGACGGTCAAGTTTGATTGTAAAAGGGAGAGCGAAAATATGCACAGCGTCGATTATAGATCTCGGGCAGCTTTTGCCAAATTGTCAGGGAACTCTTACTCAGATTTGTTTTTCAATAGAAAAACACAATTCTAAAGAATAGTGTTTTAACTATTGACAACAAACCTTCGGTTATGCATTGGGGCAATAATGTTGACTAGCAATAGTCCAGACAATAAAAAATTATGTGTAGACGGTAATGCTGGAACGATTATATTTGGAGTAGTAATATTCCAATAGTGATGTTGAAATGCTGAGATGCCCATTGGGACTCACTAAAGTCACGATGCATGATAGTGTGACGGGAAATAGTATTTAAACGGGAATAATGGAACGGTACGATAAATATTATTACCACGAACAGAGCGGACGGACCTATTTTGGGACGGTAATGATGAGACTGTAAATGTTGAGGAGGAACTAGTGGGACGAAAATGTTGAAACGGATATCGGACCGCATGATGCAAGCTGTTAAGCGGTAAATGTTGCAACAAAAATGTCGTGACGGAAGTGTTGGGAAAGTAGTGATAGTGGGCAGTGGCATGGGTAACGCTGGCCCGTAGCAGGGCCACTCATAATGCGTAGGTGGACGAGCAGAGCTCCAGGTCACCCAGCTTTTATATGTATAACGTGTAATGTATAACAATAAGCGTCGGGACAACCCGCCATGTTTCTGCTTCTGAGTTCTGGCAGGTAATCTAAAAAGGCTGGATCAGCTGGATCCGACGTTTAAAGATTGAGGCAGCAGTTTTATTCGGCATACAGCACAGTACCAGTCCAAACTGCAGGCCAGTCTGGACCGGAGCTCTCCCGGCCCCTCCGTGTGTGATTAATAGCCACCACCTGTGTGCCGTGTGCCGTGTAAAGTGGCCTGGGGGAGGGACGGCAGGGCCCCACCGGCCGTCACACCTGCACAGCAAGAGTTAGGTATTAGTAGATGAGGTATTATCCACAGCTGGTTGCCGCTTGTAACGTGACGACTGACGACCCGAATCGTTCATGCATTAATTGCCCTTTTGAAAGGACCTACGAGCTCCCCAGTAGTGAGCCTGAACAACGTTGCCTTAGCTCATCCTACATAACATAGCAACTAAAAAGATAGGCATTGCTGTTGCAGTTGCTCAGAATTCAGAAAAGAACTGACTTACGTAATAGCTAGGAAGGCCCCATTAATTCACTTCTGACCGTAGCGGGGCGGGTGTGGAGGTGTGGTGTGATTGCCTGTGACCCCGTATTGACCCCATCCCTTTCGTCCCCTCACCCAGGTCAGGGCCGGCTGGACGGCGCCTTCTGCGACTACACCGAGCAGGACAAGCTGAACTTCCTGAAGAAGATCCACGCTGAGGGCATCATCAACATGGAGATGGAGTCGCTGATGTTCGCCGCGCTGTGCCACCACGCCGGCATCCGCGGCGCCGTCGTCTGTGTCACTCTGCTGGACCGGCTCAAGGGCGACCAGGTAGGACTGACTGTAGGGGGGTCAGGTATGAGTGGCTCAAGGGCGACCAGGTGAGACTGAAGGAAGGGGAACCGTGGCTCAAGGGCGACCAGGTAGGACTGACTGAAGGGGGACCAGGTATGAGTGGCTCAAGGGCGACCAGGTGGGACTGACGGAAGGGGGACCAGGTGTGAGTGGCTATGGCGACCAGGTGGGGCTGACGGAAGCTGGACCAGGTATGAGTGGCTCAAGGGCGACCAGGTGGGACTGGTTGAAGGGGGACCAGGTTATGAGTGGCTCAAGGGGGACCTTGTAGGACTGACTGAAGAGAAACCAGGTATGACTGAAAGGGGGACCATGTAGCTAATGGGTGGCTGAATGGGGGCGGCTCAAGTCTCGAGGGGAGTAAGTAGGGTGAACTTCCTGAAAAAGATCCACTGAGCTGCAGTAATACTGATGTATTTGATGAATGAGTAACATCACTGAAGGTTGCAATATTCTCATGGGATACCGCATAGTCACTGAAGGAACACCAAATGGTGCGATTTTTGCTGGCGTGCCCCTGAGCGCCTCGCGTCCTCCTGGTAGCGCGGCGCCGGTCTAACGGTCTCAGGGGGGGGGGGCAGGGGGGCAGTCCGACGGCCGGAGACTGATAAACGGAGGTCCCCCGGGCTCTTGGCTCCCGTGGTGGCGATACTGGGTGGTTTTACATAGTCGCCCGACGCTGACGTCTCTATAAACAAAACCGAGCGGTGTCACTTTGCCGCTACATTCATGGTCAGAGCTGAATTAGGTAAACGTGTGAGTTTGTTTTTCTTGAATTCTCTGAAAGCTGACAAGGTTAAACTGACATTAACACAGACACTGACGACAATATTTATGTCATTCGGCTCATGGTATCTAGTAATAAAAAGGGACATTCGTTCAGGGACATTGTTTTTAGACAGACGGGAAGCATGAGACAGACGGGAAGCGTTTTAAATCTAAACATGCGTGATAGGCAAGTGTCATTTCAAGTGCACTTTATTGTGTTTTGAAGATCCGTCAGTCAGAAGTGATGTTACAGGGCCTCGGCTAACATGTTAACTACTGGGGCAAATGCCCCAGTAGAGTCGAGGAATGCCCCAGTAGTGGTCAGGCTTTGCCCAACCTCCACAAAATGAAACTATATCAATATTAACGTACATTCTTTCATTCGGGAGCGGTTGAAGACGTTTGTGGCAAGAAATCAGGGGTGGCGGAAGAGGGAGTGCACGGTGTGCAGCTGCACCCTCAATTTCCCTCCAAAAACATAGGCGTGCATTGGCGCAAACATATCTTTTTGCACCCCATAATCCATCTTCGTTCGAAAGAGCGTCAAAAATAATGACGAAATAACTTCGGCCTCTTTTTTGGTCAGGTCAAAGGTCAGGTCATGGTGCAGGCCAAATTTCGCCGATTTTCAGGCCGAATATCGACAGTTTACAAGATGCAAACGCATAACTCGGGAACCAATTAGAGCTACACCACCGCGGAAAAGCGGATTTGATAGCCATATTAGCATGCTTTCTGGTTATTTCTCTTAGATTTGACCTAACGTCAACTATTTTGCCTGCAAGGGGCAAAAACTACCAAAATAGACGACTTTTTCGGGAACAGTTTTTCTGCAATAACTTTTGACTCATGGCTTGCACGAGCTTTCTTTTACCGACAACGTGTTCCTCTCGTCAAGACACATCAAATTAACTGCAATTTGACCTTGGAGGTCAACTTGAAAATTCGACCACAGGTCAAGGTCATGATCTGACCGGAAATTGTCATGTTGCATATCAGTCGATCTGCATCGTCGAGCCAAACACGGCATTTTCATCGCTCTAGCATGCCTCATTCAAAAGTTATTCGCGAAGAACTGTTAGATGCCATTCGTGAACTGAGATGACCTCAGGGGCATATTAACAAGAGTCACGGGTGCTATTTTCATGTTCAGTGTGTCAAAGTCACGTACAATGTTTTATAGTGTTTAGAATAACTTTCGTCCAAAAGAGGTGGTTTTGAATTTTCTCCCATTGACTTATAATAGAGGTCACAAAATTGAGCTGACCTTAGGTCACCGAAATGAAAATTCCGAGATATAAATTTTGTACATGCTGTTGCCCCTATTAATCGCTGAAAGTTTTAAAGCGATCGGTCACTCGGTGTAGCTACGGCATACATTGAAACATTTTATGAGGTGAGGTCACTTGAGGTGACCTGGTGACCTGATATTGAATGACCTTGGACTGAAATTTTCACAACACGTGTAGAATTGATGGATGATGGAGCGCCGCCGTTTTTTAGATATCCGCGAAAAACCGCAGGAAAAACCGCAAGTGTTCAAACACCCCCCCCCCCCCCAGCAGGGCGCCAACACACTTTGACAATTTGCCCCAGTAGTCAAATTTCCTTAGCCGAGGCCCTGTGATGTTACCTGATGTTGGGAAATTGAAAACGGCAGAGCTTTGAGATGTAGTTTATGGTTGATTTTTTATCTCGGCTAACTCACGCACTAACCCTCTTAACCCTACTGATCGCTATTGATAGGTCCAGGCCGACCTCTGTTGACCTAAGCCTGCCCCTGGAAAAATCTTACTAAAGTCACTTCCGACAGCCATATCTAATGCGTGCCAATTTCTGATGATACCTGACGGTGACGACCTCTTGATTTTACGGTGACCACTGGCCCCTGCCGACCTCTTACCTATATCCTCAGATCTCTGGTGCCCGTCTGCCTCTGTCCACCCGTGACGACTCCCTGGCCCCTGCTGATCCCCGGACGACCCCCTGCCGCCCTCACCTGACCCCCGCTGACCCCGCTGACCCCGCTGACCCTGCTGACCCCGTGTGACCCGCTCCGCTCCGCCGTCAGGTGGACACTGACCAGCGCACGATGCACGAGTGGCAGGAGTACCCGCAGCGGCTGGTGTCGCGCTATATCCGCCGCCAGCTGGAGCAGCACCAGGAGCCCGGCACGCCCGGCTTCCAGGCGGCGCACAACACGCTCAGCCCCTGCGAGCCGGGCGTCATCCGCTCGCTGTCGCAGCTCAACCTCACCCGCCAGACCTCCGAGCAGGTCAACAGCTCCGAGTAGGTGGCGCTCGCGTCGCGCCGCTACAGGTGGCAGCACCAGTCGCCGCTTTATCAGAGTTCTCAGTGTGGAGCGAACGGCTGCCTTGGTGTTAGATGCCAGCTTCTTATTTGATCCGTGGGTGAGTTTTGATAGTGTTGAGCAACATCAAAGAACATTGAAAGAACAAGATGTTCTTCTAAAGTTAAAACTTCCAGCAAGATGGACGGTGAAGGTTTAGGCACTGAGTGTTTGCATGTGATATGCATTCAAGAGCGTGATCAGATGCAACTGGAAAGTCCCGTATTCGAAGTGCAGGTTCGCAGGTGCAGTTTTACTGTACATGAGCCAGGGGGCTTGGCTAGTTATCAGCTTCATTCCCTCGATATGTCATATTTATGTTGTAGAACATGGGGTTTAGCTTCACGTGCTCGCATATCGACGTATGGACGCGCTTTCATTGTTTCTAAGTGTATTCTGTATTCTTTCAAGTGTCACCGTTGCATTCCTTCGAGGGCAATAGCCACTGGCTGTATACGTACCGAGTAAGACGCGTATCGCCGTCGTTTCGTTATTCCTGAACTGTTTGTGAGCGTGTGAGAGAATAAAGTTATTAGTGTAAAATAAAGTACTGCATACAGTGCACAGTTTGTGGGTGTGCAATAAGCGACGAAGAAACGCGCAGCTGTCTAACGATTTAACATGTTAACAGCTACCTATCATTCATATATTTTTAGCGCACACTAGGCATCTGCACGGTTATCGAGCTGTTTCACGAAAACCACAACCGAACAAATTATGCGTTCGATGTTAATCGATCGCATAAATCCGTTTACGACTGCGTTTACGACTCTACCAGGGCCCCCGATATTCCTGTCCCTTCTACGAAATCTGATCAGCTGTCAAAAAACCTGTGTGTACATGACTGACAGCACGCACGACGTCTGCATGCTTGCACGCTTGGACTGCGGCGTGCCGCTGCTGGGGCGGGCGGCGTCGGCGGTCTGTCCTCGGCGTGACACCCGTCTGTCAGCCCCGGCCGGACCGTCTGTCAGCCCCGGCCGGACCGTCTGTCAGCGGCGTGTGACTGACGCCGTATGACAGATAACCCCCGACATTACCTCCCGGCCAACGCTGCAGTAACCAGCAGCCACAGGGGCGGAGGGCTGATATGGATCTATGGTGGGGAGATCTGCACGACAGCCGGCATAGCTGGTCTGATAAACTGCTGACGTGATTATCGCCGGCTGTTTGTTGCTAGTCAGATTAAGGGGAAATAAGGAGACTACGGACTTTGGTGGTCCGTGGGGCGGCGAGATTATGGGAGTAGACGGAAACTACGGTACAGCAGTGTTTGAGAAAGGTAAACGGGGTGGCTGTGCCAATACAGTCTGACTTGCTCGAGTGATCCGAGGTGTTGTGAGGCTCTGAGAACGTTTATTGATTATGTATAGTGTATCAACACTCTACAGTGGTAGGTATGTGGGATTCCCATGAATAAATGACGGCAGGGACAGGCGAACCGAGCCTCCATCAAAACTGCAATACTGGCGCCAACTGAAACAGAATAACTGTGAATTGCAAACATTCCAGCCAGGCCACATACATCACGCTGAAGCTTCACCGACGTGCGGTAAGCCCGGCTCAGTGAAGTGTGGCACCCGACATTAGGCCACGCCATTCCAACTCAGCGGCACGCTAAATCGATATCCGGTTTGAAATGCCACTTGCGCCAGTGGGTGTCGAAATCGCAGACTGCATTTCGGCCCACCACCGGCGGTCGGCGGATCGATGAAATTCGTGCACGAACTGACAAGGAAACAGACGGTTGCGAGCCCCGAGCACCGCTGCAGTACTAGACTAGCAAACGGTGGTGCTAGACCACAGCGCAGGCGGCACAGCGTTCCCGACCATCCATCCAACGGAGCTTCACCGAACAGCCTCCTTCCGCGTGTGTATACAGGTGTATTTAAAATAACGAAAATACATCTCCGGAACCACTACACCCAAACAAAGACGTCACAAAACCAACTCGCACCGTACACAATAAATTATTTTATTTCGTTTGATGTCCAACAACCATACTAACCGTGCGAAACTCTCACGCTAGTAAAGGCATGTGCAAAGCGAACCGCTGCCGATTTTTAAAATAAAGCTGTATACGATATAATTGCACCACCAGAGTTGTGTCCGTGGTAATAACATCTACAACCAGTATAACGCCTTTTGGGGCGACTAACGGAGCGAGCGAGGGGGTGAGTCTTGCACGTGCGAAATTTCGAGGGGGTACCTCCAACTGACTTGTGCACGGCACCCTACTGACCGGTTTCTAGCGATGTGCCAAATTTGAGCACAATCGGCCCAGCCGTTCTCGAGATCTGGAAGTGGCACCCTGCACGTGCGCACGTGCAAAATGGGTCCCAACTGACTTGTGCACGGCACCCTACTAACTGGTCCCTAATCGTGTACCAAATTTGAGCGCCATCGGTCCAGCCGTTCTCGAGATCTGGAAACGACCCCTGCACGTGCGCACGTGCAGCAGCACCCCAACTCTGGCACATGGATATGCAGTGCCTAGTGGGTGCCTATCTACATGCCAACTTTCAGCGCAATCGGCCAAGTAGTTACCGAGATATTGCAACAATTACAAAACTGACACCTCTTCGTTTTGCACGTGGCACGTGCATAAGGGGTCATCCACATGCATCGGGAATAGTCCAATACTTGGTAGAAGGAATGAAGCTACCCTACAAAATTTACCGCGTGTAAATCGGTCAAGTGGTTGCTGAGATATAAGCCTCGCAAAAGCGTCCGCACGGCCGGCCGGCCGGCCGGCCGGCCGGCCGGCCGGCCGCTCATACTCAGAAATTTCTGTTAATCTAAGGAAAGACTACGCTCGCTTCGCTCGCTCCGTAATAACAAAAGTGTCTACGGCGAAACGTCATTGAAAGTGCTTAGCTCAATTCAACAAGCTGTTAGCCGGCAGTTTTAGGAAACATCAACAAACATGCTACGTATACCGTTGAGCCGAACAGCGTGAATCTATCAATTCGGTTTGCGACACAACTCTGATGGCAATGCCGAACCTTTGGTGTCAAACGCTCAAACGTCCGCCCGCACCCCCCCACCGCCGGCGATACGCCCGCCCGCCCGCCCAAGCTCTACCAGGCACCGCTCCCGGCCACCGCTACAGGCCCTCTCACCACCCACCGGACGCCATCCTCCGACCGCGCGCCCCCGGACACCAGCTGAGAAAGACGGTGCACAGGACTATCCCGGCACCCGCTACTGAACACGCTCCGCGCCATCGGCGGCAGCGGCGCCCCGTGCCGAGACACCGCGCTGTTCGCCACCGGCCGCCCCGTGCCGAGACAGCTCGCTGCTCGCCTCCGGCCGCCCCCTCCCCGGGCGGCGCCTCCCGCCTCCGACCGGCAGTGGAAAACCCCGGACACACGCCGGCACACACGCTCCAGACCAGCGCGCGGGGCACGTTGGCGTCATACGTCGTCACAACGTACGGCACGTCAGCAGCATACGTCATACCACACGGCACGTCAGCGCTACACGTCACACCACACGGCACGTCAGTGATAACACGTCACTCACCACTGCACCACTACGCACCACAATGCATCAGACGCACCACTCCTTACCACACTGCACCACATCCTATAGCACTAGTGCAGCTGTCGGTAGCCCATCTCCGACGGCTTCTTTTCCGCGAAAAAGTTCCTCAGTACGAATACCTGTCCGATGGTGACTAGCAGGATGGCGATCGTCTCGCCGACCGACCAGTACAGCACGCGCTCGCCCAGCTCCTCTGCTCGCTTGCGGCCCTGCGTCTCGCGCAGCTTGTAGTGCGTCTGGTAGTCGTCGACGGCGTTGAGGTTTTCGTGCACGGCCTGCGCTGAAGTCTCCATCTGTGGGAACCGATAGAGAAAATGTCAAATGTTGCCAACGATAACGCAGTCACGGATGGGGCCGAAAGGCAGTGTCCTGAAATTGATTTTTCGGAGAGTGTGATTGAAGCCCCGAGGACGTCGCTATTTCAAAAGGACGTCGATATCGGTGCGGAGCCTAAGCCACTGAAGATCCCTTACCTAAATCTCTTAAAATTAGCGATTTTCACTGGCAATATTGACTAATACTACCTCAAGGCACCTCAAATGATCATATATAGACACAAAGTAATGCCAGTTTACCCCTAGTAAAATACAAAATTCAAGCATTCACCACAAACACCAAAACAACACTTTGAAGATGTCTAGTTCTTGTCCATGATCGTACACAACAGTCAACAACAAATATGCTTCAACAAAAATCAGCCCAAGAGCCAGCGGCTATCACTAAATATTGACGTCACAAGAGGGATATCATATCGAGCAAGAGGACTGATGTAAAAAAGCAGACGTCCAAACAAAGAGGTGGAAAACAGTTCGGAAATTAATTTCCATAGCTTCCTGTTATGAAATTCAATTAAGAAAACTCCAAGGTGGACGCTGAATTTTTCTTGGCTGGAAAAAATGTGAAATCATTGAGCACTTTTCAGTTTTGTACCGACGTCGATTAAATGGGAATAACAAGGTCAATCGACGTCCCCAACATTGCGTGTATTTTTAAGTCAAGGACGACATACTTGAATTAATTCTGTTGAAATTCGGTAACTTTATTCTAATTCAAACAGATAAACATTAAACTTTTTCCCCAACCACTATCAACATATGCAAAATTAACTACTTTTGAAGGGCATGTTCAAGGGGCAGCGCTAACCCGTTACTGTGACCTTCTGAGGGGAAAAAATAATTAAATATGTTACAGTCATTTGATACTAAAGGTATGTTGCGTGCTTATAGTTAAATGTCCAAGTAATATATTCGCATGATTAATTTTTATCTATACACTGCACAGTTACTAAAACTGAAAAGTGGAAAACGACGTCCTCAGATCCCTCTATTCCGACATCTTTTCTCCTTCATATGGCAGCATTACCTTCACATGGTAAAGGAAAAAAACCTATCCATATCTGACGCACAGAAAACGAAAATAAAATAAAACCGCGTTGTTTACTGTTGCGGCAGTTGGCCAGGAAAGGGGAGTTGAGTGTAAGAGTGGGTTTGTGAGGACTTAGGATATATTTATTGTCATTTTGCATAGCCGTGTTTTTAGGCTACAGAGGTGATATTTCCTTTTGTTAGTTTGCTTTTGGTGTTCGATATACCTATCCACTTTTATTTGTCAGGGACGTCGTTTGGCTTTCCGGGACGTCACAAAGAGAATCTGTTAGGTGTGGGTTTCCACCCAAATTCACGAAAATCAGGACACTGCCGAAAGGACGGAGTCAAAAAAGCTCATAACACAACACTAGGTAGCTAAACGCAAGTATACGTTTTCATGCCGTCGAACATAGCAGTAAGCAGTTTACGACCCGAGACTTCATAGATTACTCGAGGGCAGCGCTTTTCGAGGAGCGCTGTGGCCCGAAAGTTTGGACTTTGAATTGGGAAAAACGCCCGCCCGCCGCAAAACGCAAACACCGCAAAACGCGCAAAACGCACGCCCGAAACACCAACGCAAACGTCGCAAAAAATAAACAAACGCCCGCCCACCGCAAACCGCCACGCCTGCAGGGTAAACGGCAGCTCTAACTGGTTCAAAACTTGCAGGTCATAAGAAGAATACATTGAGTCATGACATTCCGGCGAGATAACATCCGAGGGGTGCAAGCTGCGCGTGCGGGGGCGGTTAACGGTTTTGACGATGGATCCTCTGATCCCGGGAAACGTCGAGCTAGCGACACAAAAGTCGGTACACTGATAGAACTAGACACCCGCTACAGAATGTTATGAAAATGACTGCACTAGATTGCCTGGGACATGAACTATTGCACGTGCAGTTAATTCATATCTTATATATATCATAGCAACGCAGGAGCGCTGCCGGCATCTAGTAGTAACCCTGACGTCCCCCGTAATCCGCCCGCTCAGCCCGCCGGGGCTGTAGTCCAGCCTTGGTTAACACCATACCGCGTCTGTTTATCCATTCCCTGAACCCGGCATTTCGCCGGGAAGTCCATCCCATCAAGACCGTATCGGGTATCCCAACCGCCCACCCATCCAGGCCGTGTCCCTGGTACTTCCGTCCATCCGAAAGGCCCCATTCCCCCAGTACTCTCGACCCCGTCCGTCCGCGCGCCTGACTGACCTGTGTGAGGGCCTGGTGGTGCTCCTCCAGACCAGGCAGCGGTTTCTCCTCGCCCGTCTGCCAGTCCAGGTAGATGATCTTGTGCGAGAACGTCGAGAACTCGTTACTGAAGCACACCGAGTAGGTGCCAGCCTTCTCAGTGGTGAACGAGTGGTCGCCGTACTGCTCCTTCACCTTGTTGTACAGGATGCGGTCGTCGGGCCCCTTGATCTGACAGTCGACGTCGTAGTTGCCGCCCGTGACCACCTGGGGGCAGGGGGGGGGGGGCAGGTCACATATGTTACCTACTTGGATGTTCAATGCTCATCTCAAGTCACACGCTTAAGTTGTCATTGATTATCATGGCTATGTGTCCCTCAGTTGCCCCTGCATGGGCTAGGAATTCAGATTTAGGTTGCCTATGGTGTCGTTTCTTACAGCAGAAGATATCAGACAATTTGTATACGAAAAAAGATAAAAAATATCAGTCCGAATTTGACTCACCTGAAATTCCACTGACGTTTTTTCTCCAGCCTTTATATCTTCATAGAAACACTGTTTTTCATTATCTGGCAGCTCAAATGTGAGTTCCACTGCATTACTGATGTGCACTGAACTAAAAACAGCAAACAAAGCAAACAGGAAAAATTCCATGGTGTTCCTAAGACAAAAGACCTGGAAGAAATTTAACAAGGTCACGATCAGGCATATTCCACCCATATTCCATCTTCCACACTACGTCAAATAAACAGGCCACAATTTGACCTGTCATCCCACACTTCACAGATAAAACTGAGGAGAAGAGCAGCACTCTGATGAAATCCAAAACTGTTTTGTGGACACGTCCATACTGCAACCTATGGACATGAAAATCTTCATGACACCCCTAACTATTGACAAGCCTTCATTTTCAAACCAAATATGGGCATTTAATCAGGGAAAATCCCAATAAAACTGACTGTAAGGCATGGCAACTATGATAAGCTCTTGATCTTGTCCATGCTGGGGGCACTTAGGAAATGAACAGTCAAGTGCAGATTTTAAGATGGTGCAGTGTTAAGTCTGTGGTAGTTACTACTTACTAGAGTGACTGGGTGGTACCGTCTGACTCTGACTAGAGCATCTGCTGGCTGACCCTCTGCACTGCAAATGCCAGAGCCCAAAGGAAGGCATTGAATTTTAGGCAGGCATTAAGTAGGGTTTCAGTATGGCTCATGTAGGTTTTAGGTCGGTTAAGTAGGTTTCACTTTCAATAATGTTTTAGGAAGTCTTAATTGAGTAGACAAGCAAATCATTCAACAACTGTAACATTTGCAGTCCAGAAGCAGAGGGACATACTGATACACCATCAAGTTTTAACAAAGACAGACAAAACTGCATGAAACATCACATTGGCACTACATTTATATATGAAATGCTCCTTCAAGACAAGTGAAATTGATGTATGGGAGACATTACACCTACAGGGTCAATCAAAGAGCAATTGATGAAATTTGTGACTTTTCTCATCACAAGCTACTGCTGCACTTCATGTGTCTATGTTACATGTATATAATTTTCAGAGCTCTAAGGAGCAGGCTGATTCACTGCACAGTTCTGCAAAACTCCACAGTTGGTGTGAGCTGATGCAGATATCCAGCCCAAGTGCTGTATGGTTTTAGTCCCAATTATTTAGCAGCATATGTCTTCCCACAATGTCTTATGAGTTATGTGTCTTCCCACAAAAGGCATTGATTTTTCGACTAATGTTCAACCTGTCATTGGTGAGCCACACATCACATGTAAAGTTCACCTTAAGTCTTAAGAAGCAGAAAATGCCAGCACACTTACACTGACAGCAAGCAGAGAGGAAAACAGAATTTGGGTAATAAGTAAGCCTGGCATCCCAGGAATGAGGAAGATGCCAGATACCATTGTAGGTTTGTAGGTTTGTAGGATTGTAGGGTAGGTTGTAGGTTTGTAAGTTGTAGGTTGTAGGTAAGGTTAGGTCAGGTCAGGTCAGGTTAGGTTTGTTTTGGTCTATATATCTCTGTCGTCCCAATCTGGCATCTTCCTGGGACGCCAGGCTTACTAATAAAGGTATGCTGGTTATTTTCATTATTTATGTTCAGTGCCCACTGCCCAGGTCAATTCAAATATTGTTAAAATATACAATACACAGCCAATACCACTCAAACAAATTTGTGACTTTTTCCACTCACACAAATTTGTGACTTTTTCAGTTGTCAGTTGCTCCCAAGCTCTTTCCGGCGTACTCCTGACCAAGAGTGAGAGACACGCAATAGAAGTCAGTTGGGGAAACTACGAGGCGAATGTCAAAAAATGGATTGGTCAATAAATGGACTTTTCATGACTATATATGGGCATAAATGCAGCCCCCGCTACTAAGGGTGAAAAACGGTATAACAAGCCGGTACTTGCAGTATCGCGTCCACTTATTGGAGAGAAAAGGCTTCTATTTTTCACTAGGAATGAGTGTGATTTGATTAAATTCGGCGAATTGACTCGAAAATGGCGATAGGAAAACGGCTTTTCTGCAGGTTGTGGGCATCACAATCAGCTGGCCATTCAATAAATGGATTGGTTTTATGAAAGAAAATTGTTAAAAGATTTAATTTAATTACAATAAACAAAAATATTTAATTCTAAAATAATAACTTTACTACAATTAGAAAAACCATAAACAAAATAATAAAAATAATGACATTTTTAAACCACGATACTGCTTACATTTTTTGGCGCGTCTGTTTCAATCCGCCATATTTGCCAATCACGGTTTGACCGTGCGTTGTAACTCTGCGATTTAGAGCCGCCAGTTAATTATGCACCGGGTGAGTGTAGGCCTTGTGTGGTTAAAAAACATTCTTATGCCTTATTTTTTCATTTGAATGCTAAAATTCTTTGAAAAGATGAAGTCTGATTTTATGACCATATATGGTCATCGCCCCGCCCACCCCAGCCGCTGATTGGCTAATCCAATTTTTGTTTGGCTCCTCGTAGTTTCCCCAACTGAAGTGAAATGAGCTGGTGAAACGCCCCCTAGATCATGTAGCTGGTTAACTTAATGACTAATCACCATGGTTTTTCATTAACATCAATAATCAATCAGTACCTGCAATTTTTGCAATTCAAATTTGATTTGTTCTAGCCGAGATCGACCATCTGTCATCACTCATAACCAAAAATTGCATTGCAAAATGAGGTGTGAGACATTCCCAGAAACAGTCACAAGCCTACCTTTATAATATTTAAGGAAAATTATCAAATCCTACCCAGATCACATTAACACAATGAACAATGAAATTACCCACAATCAAAACACACAGATCCAAATTGTGCTAAGCAGCTTGACAGGTTCGGTTACACGTAGATTGCCGGTAAACGTCAAGGTTATGGTTAATCGGCCGCCTCTGCTCAGGAAACAAAAATTATTTTGCCGATTGTTTTTGTTTTTGGGAACAAAATTTTGTTAAAAGGTTTAATTTCTTTCAAATTAAACATAACTTATTCATTAATATTGCTCTCAGAAACGAAACATAATGTAGTTTAAATTTTTCCCGCTAGGTTCTCTAAAAAGATACATCGATCCCGAAATCGCGACATAAATGGCGTAGATAAGACAAAACGTCATCGCATGACTTCTATTTTGCTGCAAAAATAAAAACAATGTGCTGGCTGCGCCGTTCGCGCCGTTTGTATTCAAGGCTATAGAACTCCAGGTAAGGACACCAGCCGTTTGACCTTGAACGCCGCCGGCCGGCCGATGACGTCATTGGAGGCAAGCCGGCTCGGCGGAAGCATCGAGCGAGCGTATAACGGAGGAGCGTTGGACGTTGCGGGAGCCGGGGAGAGATTTTAACGTTTGCATACCACCATTGTTATGTTGATTGATCTAGACTGCATTCTTATTAAGCTCGACGCATCTTAGGCCTGGATGGTGCGTACATTCGTAGAACGGTCTGACGTCCGTGGTCGAAGCTGTCTACTCTACATGTAACAAAAGACGCTAAGACCGGTGCAATAACGGCGACCCGATCCCGTCCCTGGCGATTCTAGGACTCGTTAGGACCCAGGCCGAGTCTGACCCGTCTATTTTTAGGGAAACGGGGTGGGTGAATTGACAACCGAGTACCGATGGGTAGAATTGATCCCGTCGTCGAGCGATGGTTGATTGACAGACAACACATGTTGTAGTGGGCGGATAAGCATCAGGGATAATGCCTGAACGTAGGCAAGCATAATTGGTCAGCCATATTGTTTAGGAATATAAAATCGTAACCAGGGTTACTTTTACAGGAAAAGTTGAGGGGGGGAATCATTGGCAGATCCAGAAAGGTAATCTTGGACGCTGCGGGGGGCATACCCCCCAAAAAAACTTTCTCTAAATTCCAAAAACTCATCGGATTTCGGTTCCTTACCCACTGCTGCGCAGTTTAAAACAAACTTTTCCTGATAAAAGTTGTTTAGTTTTCGTTTTATTCCTCAAAAACTGTAAATTTTCGTCGATTTCGGGCGCTGCGGGGGAGTGGGCGTTTGCCCCAAATGCCCCCTCTGGATCCGCCAGTAGGGGAATAAAATTCGAGTAGGTCATGACCCCCGTCCCCCGCCGGTTTCTACGCCGACGCCTGTACCGATATGTCAGTGCGAAGAGACAAGACAAGGGACGGTCCCACTGACCATCCGATCGGTATCGGGTCAAATCTGGAGTTCCCGTTGCACTGAACTTAAAATGGTTTGAACCGCAAATTGAAAGAAAAAACACCCATTTTTGTCGTTGTAGCCGTAATGAGACCCCCTTTTTGTTTACCCCGCAAAAAGATGACGGTTTGAATAATAGGTATTACCAAAATACCTACCTACCTTAACCTATCTGTGAATGATTGCCTATTTAACCCTCGCCCGCACATGCCATTTTCCCATCCTAGAACGCACATGGGGGGGGGGGGTGGTTGCCACCCCCCCCGCGCCATTTCGTTCCTGTTGGAGATAGAGCTTAGCAGTAAAGACCAAAAAGATTCTTTGGGAAGAGACGAATCCAATGATACCCAGTTTTACCTTCTCAGGTCAGTCATTGACCTTCCAGGTCAGGTCAAACTAAAAAATGTTGCTGTTTTGGGTCACCGTTGGATATCAAGTGTGCTGCTTATCAAATACCGATGACGATGCTGTTTTCTGGTGCCAAGCCAGCTAGAACCTCTTTGTCACACTACCCGACCAGAATTTTGCTGCTGAGGTCATTTCAGGTCAAGTTAGGTCAAGGTCAATTATATGTGTTTGTATGTCTGTGTGTGTCTGTGTGTATACTGATGTGTGCACCGATTGTTTTTGGGTCCATATTACATGAAATCATGATCTGAGAAGCTTTTACCAAAAATGCAGTCAAGAAAACTTCAAAAAAGTAAATTCAGCTTGCCTAAAACGCAATTATCTTAGATGACCTAGGTTGACCTTGACCCTGACCTTGACCCCTGTACATCGTCGAACAACATGTTCCATGACAGGTGGGAGGTAAGACTGGCAAAAAAGGCCGAAATCAGGGTGTCAAAAGCTCATAAGGCCCATGGCAAACGCAAGATGTTGAGAATTGGCCATTTGGGTCATGACATGACCTGAAAAACAAGGTCATATCTCCGAAACCAAAAATCACAGAAACTTGAAATTTTCAGTGGACATCAAGAAAGGATAGAGGAGCAGCTATACGAAAAATCAGCCTTCTAGCTCTAAAAATGTTGAGTGCAGAGCAGAAAGACTACCTGGGGGGGGTGGCAACCACCCCCCCCCCCCCATGTGCGGGCGAGGGTTAAAGGGCTGTCAATCCCCACAAACCTCGCTTAGTCCGTTTTCTTGGCACTGGCGGGAGCATGTACGGCCTCGGTGGGAGCTGGGGCGGGAGCAGCAGGAAGTTGGTCTTGGTCTGCCTCCGCTTTGTCAGACATCTCTGTCTCGCTACCACTGGCGATATTTTCATTTACTGCTTGCCTTTTAGGATTTTGAATGAAGCTCAAAATGGTCGTTTGTTTTGGCCGAGACATTTTGAAAAAACCACTGCGCCATAAATAACCCGCCCGCAGCGCGACGAGACACGAGACTGCACGGCACGGTATATAGAGAACTCTACATAGAGATCATAGAGGTATATAGAGACTCTACATAGAGGTATATAGAGATCTCTACATTACGAGGATTCACCACCAGTGAAAATTACTACTGTTAAACCCTCGGTCCCGGGCAACTCCGGGGAGCTGCAGTATCCGGCGGCCACCACGTCGACTCGCAGGTCCTGTGGGCTTCCGTGATGCTTCAGTGCTTCACCCAGAGGCACGGGTAGAGCAGTAGGATGTGGGGTGAGGTGTCTGTACGCCTCTTCATTGTAGGTACCCAGTCCCGTCGAAGCTCGATAATCGACCGTGACATTAGACATACCTATTTCTTAATTGGCGGATCCAGGAAGCGGTCTTGAACACATCGGGGGGCATATACCCTAAAAAAGGTTTGTGAATTAAAAAAAAACATCGGATTTTGATTCCTTGCGCACTACTGTGCACTTCGATCAATACACTTTTCCTCATAAAAGTTGTGAAGTTTTCGTTTTATTCTCGAAAAACGATTTCGGACGCTGCCCCGGATGTGGGCCTGTGGGGGATAACAATTGTCCCAAATGCCTTCCCTTGCATCCGCCAGCGGGTTGCCCCGCCCTGAGCTTAACTAAAAACGTCTTAAAATCCCACCAGAGAGCCGAATCCGATAACTCACCTCTGTCTGCCCGTCTAAATTACTACGCACCGTACGGCGCCCAGCCCCGTCGGAGCACTGAACCGACCGTGATATTTTTGGTTTTCCCCCATCCCCAGCTCCATTAGAAACGTTCTCTCTCCCCATCCAATTGCTCATGATGTCATTTCAAATTCAATACCTACCTCATCTCTGTCTGCCCGCCCATTCATTGCACACCTTACGGCGCCCGGCCCCGCCAGAAGGATCCTAGCGCGCTGAGTGGTTGCCTCCAGCCGCGTCATCGCGAGGCCCCGCGGGGCCCGCAAATGAATACATTGCGTGAATAGCCGTGTCGCCCCCCTGTTTGTATTGTTTGCTTTGTAGATTCTGGGGTTGGAATGGTTGCATATTGAAATGAATTCTGTTACTGATAATTTATTGAGATTTTCTCAGGAAGGACAGACTGTGAAGCTAAAGGAGTATATCTCCAGCTTAGGTCCACAGATAATATGGTCTGAATGTGTTCAATTAAAATCTAAAGATTCTTGTCTTCATCTCGCCTCAAGGGAGGGTCACGTAGAAACGCTGAAGTAAGTAGCCAATTTAAGCTGGAAAAGCATTCATGGTTATTATATGTATATTAAAATAATATAAAGCCATGTTTCCTAACAGCTCCAATAACAAAGTTGTAAAGCACTAAAAGGTCAGTCACCAGTTTCCGAGTGGAGTGCTAAAATCGTGGCTTTTGGATAGGTAACCCATTTCAATTTGACATTGATATTTCATTTTGATATTCAATAAGTTCTTAGAGCACTATTGTCTAATCTCTTCTAAGCTTATTTTTAGTGAGTTGATTTAATTTTTCAGGCTCTTGCTTTCAACTGGATGCAGGATGTATCTGGAGGTGGGCAACAAGGATGGCAAACAACCAGTGCATGAAGCTGCCCATTTTTCACACTTAGACTGTGTGCGAGCTCTGATTGACGCAGGTATGGCTTATAGGAACATTTTCAATTCCATCAAGTTTCAAATCATTTTAAGATGATTTGATCTCATGAAGATGGAATATTCCATCTTGCTCATTTAAAGGGACTATCCCACCTTTAAAGGGACCCTCCCACCTTAACATTAGTTTTGAGTTGAGATAGCCAAGTTTGCGGCCAGCATAGGTGGGCATCGTTCCCCAAAATTGTAACTTCGTTACTCTTTCTTCCGTTCCTTCATGACGTGACTTCCGTTACTCGCTCCTCCGTTCATCTGCAAATAATGTAACGGAAGTTCTTAAGTCCGTTACTCCGTTACAACAAAAGAAAAAAACGTTAAAATTTTGTATATTTCAAACATTTCTGAGACCATTCAGACACAAACTAAACCCATCCAGAAAGCAGAATGCCCACCAAATCTACCAAGACAGCGGGCACTGACGGACACTAAACCTTGGAACGTCTGGTGGTACTGATGCGCGTCACTTGTCCCCGGCCAAATACCGGTTGCCCTTTACGAACACTAGACGTTCCAGGTTGGTATCTGAGAGGGTAGCACTTTTTGCACTCCCATCGAGAACATGCGCTCGGCGCTTGAAGGGACGCCCGTGCTGAAATTTGCGAACACATGCTGCAACGCCGGCTCCTTCCGGAA